TCATATGGAAGAACATCATCACAAGGTTTGGGGTGCCACAGTGCATAGTCTTTGACCACAAATGCCAATTTGACTTCGACACAATCAAGGATTATCTAGAGGACATGGGCACCCATTATGCAAGTGCCTCAGTTTGCCACCCACAGAGCAACGGTCAGGCTGAAGCAGCAAATAAGCTGATCTTAACATCTCTACAGAGAAAGCTGGAGGAGCACAAGGGCCTATGGGCTGACCTAGTTAGAGGTATTATGGGCAAACATAACTATTGAAAAGGAGTCCACTGGCAAAAGCCCTTTCACTCTAGCCTAAGAGGATGATGCAGTTGTCCTAGTAGAAGTTCAAATCCCTAGCCTCAGGATACAACACTAGGAAGCTCAAGGGAATGAATAACGCGAGCTAGAAGAATTAGATTTCCTACCGGAAGTAAGGCTACAGGCAGCCCTCAAGCTGGCAGCCCAGAAGAGCAGTATCTCCAAAGATTTCAACAAAAGGGTTAAACAGAGGGAACTGCTACCTGGAGATTTGGTCCTCAGAAGGACAGCGGCAGTAGGAAGAGGAAACCAACATGGAAAGCTCGCAGATTTAGAAGGTCAGGTCTAAAGGAATATCTTCAATGCTGATATGTTTAAGAAATATTTTGTTTCAAACATATGAGATATTAAGTAGAATTGGAGATAATTGTCTGAACCTTTCAAAGAACTCTGTTTAGTTAATGTTATGTCAACTAAGGCATTTTAGCCATTTTAATTGAATGAAATACAAGCCTCTATGTGAGGAGTATATTGCATAAACCTGTCTTAATATATAATGCTTTAGCATCATGTACTTACATGCAGAAATATTAAAAAAAAAAAAAAGCATGCAAGTGCTGAAAACAGAAAGCACCGTAGCATGAAACGGCAAAACATCGTCCAATAGTAAAAGAAAGCATCCATCCCTAAAATATCACCTTACCTGCTCAAAATAAAAAAGGCACTACCTCGGGGACGCCTGAGAGGGAGGCCTTGCACGTTCAACTTGAGCAGGAGAGGGCAGTGAAAACAAAGAAGATGAGCTGTGCGGGAAACACTAAGGTTCTCTTAGTCCCACTCAGCTCACCTCTTTGAGGGGGAGAGGAGGAGAATATAGATATATAATAAGCCCTTATGAATAGAAGTAAGAGGTACAAAACAACAAGTCGCAACACAAACAAGCTGAATGACATAAATAAGTCACAACAAAACAAGCTGAATGACACAAAATGAGCAGTCAAAAAGCTGATCGACACAAGTAAGTCTCAGCAAAGCTGACTGATTAATTCCCAAACAGGCAGCAATCAAATAAGCTAGTAAACATGCAAGCAAGTCTCTACAAAATTCAAGTAGAGTACATAATGCATAAGCCTTCAGTATAAGCAGGGCAAAAAGAGTAAAACTCATCGATGTTCCTGCCAAACACAGCAGAGAACAAGAAAGCAAGAGAGCCCTCAACAACCAAATCAGGAAAACAGGGAGGCCCAACCTACGAGGCTTCACGAACGCAACAAAGAGGCTACTATACTAAGGTCTAGATACTACTGCACCTTGGCCCAGCAGTAGGTCTAAACAAGCACGCAGACAACGAAATAATCAACAGACAAGACAGCAGAGAAATCACCAAGTACATACAATACGAAGCTAAACCCCTGCCTAGAGTAAACATTCAGCCAGATAATTCATAATGGCTACAAAAGCTGAACCCGTGCCCACCAAGGAAGTGTAAACATGCAATAAGTTAATTACAATTTATGCAAAACTGAGCCCTCGTTTACCAGGACAAGGAAACACTCAGCAAGTAAGTCAGAGAAGCATAAATTCAAGATTAAGCTGGACAGACCCAACAACAAAAGACAAAGTATTCTGAGAAGACACAAGAAAGCATAATCATTGGTGGCTATACATCCCAAAGATAGTAACAAAAACTACCTAGTTACAACAGATATGGGTGAGGGAAACGTATAGGAACCACTGGAGTAGGAAGGTGACATCCACCATAATCTTTATTGTCCCCCAGCCAAGGATTCCACCCCAATAGCTTCACCAACGTCAGGACAATGGGGGACCTCCAAGTTCATCAAGGCATGGTCAGGAACCTTGCAACTGGAAGCACGTGGATGGTAAGCAGGCAGCTCAAATAAACCAGCATCGCCTGCAGCATCAACTTTAGGCAAAAGGTGTTAAAACGAGCCTCCTGCTCCTAACCTTCACCATATAAGCTGCTCACACATCGAGCTGCAGCCTCCCATCAACCATCATGGTGATTAGCCAATAACTTAGTAGAAGTAGGGGAGAGCGCAAAAGCCTTAAGCGCCTCTTTCCTAGCTGTTTCCAGCTCAGTGACATGCCCAGCCCGCAGATCAGCAATCTATGTTTCCAACGCCTACACCCTGGCCTGAGAGGTTTGCAACCGCTCCTCACAGCTCGTCAACTTGGTCTGAGTAAGTTGAAATTCTCCCAACTGGAGCTGCAGGGCGTCCGCCCTCTCTCTCAGAGGAGTCACCTCATTGACCATGGCATCCCTCTCAACCCGAGCCTACTGAACCTCCAAATTCTTTTAAGAAAGAATTAAGCCTTGACAAGCTGCAAAAGGGTAGAAAAAGAAAGGAGTATGTTAAAGCAGGAATCAATTGAAGATAAAAATAAGACAAGGCAATAATAAAGGACTAAATAGAGAAGAAAGAAAAACCAGAATCAGATAGGAGAAAGCTAAAAGCAGAAACTAACCTTCTGCAAGTCATGACAAACCGTAGTAGCAGGAAGGCTGACTGAGCTCCGCATAGAATTAGCTAGAAGATGAACTCCCTATGTAAGACGGTACCCCAAAGTATCACCCTTCTGGGGGTCAACCACGAACAGAGATTCGTTAGCCCTGACATTCATCTCAGGCCGAAAGGAGGCATCCTCAGCTCCCGCAGGACACAGTATGGGGCGAAGGTGGGCATCAATGGGAACCTCAAAAAATTCGATAGCCCCAGTAGGGCGGAAAGTACCTCCATCAGAGATTGAGGTAGTAGACAGAGGGTTCTCAATAGCATCGCTCAAGAATTGGTGAACACAATGATTAAGTTCAATAGAACTGTGAGTATTAACACCCCTATCAACATTCCCACCAAGAAGCCCATTGTTAGCAGAGTAAGAAGCAAAGGGATCAAGGCCAGAGGAGGTGCAAGCCTTCTTCATTGCAGGCTCATCCTCACCAGGGGCAGAGGTTACAGGATCTTCCTCCAAGTCAATAACTAGCTGATCCTGCTTGTGAGCACCCCTTGCCTGAGCATGCCCACCTCTGGAGGCGCTGCGGAGCTTCCCTCTCAATCCAGCGGGGGGTGGCGGAAAATTTGGAAGCTCCATGATAGTTTCATTAGGGAGCAGGAATTTAGTAGTTTCAACAGAAGCATCAACAACGTCTTTCGCATTTGTAGCATTATCAACATCAGAAGGAAAGAGCAGAACATGCTCAGCAGAAGAAGTGGGCTTTACGCCCACAGTAGTAGTTTCAACCTCATCAGAAGGAAACTTGAGAACACTATCCGCAAAATCATCAGAAGTAGTCTAAGGATCATTAGAAGCTTGATCACGTTGTCTTTTGGAAATAGAGGTCTGAGGTGCCACCTGGCAGGAAGCTGTAACAGGCTGCTTCTCAGGAGAAGCACCATGCGCCACTAACGCCTCAGATTCCGAAGCCGCTCTTCGAGGGGCATGTCGAGTCTCGCATCTACTCCCAACGGTAGAGGATGAAGGCTCAACATTAGCACGGCTGGAACCTTTACGGTCAGCAGGAGTCACGGAGCAAAAAACAGCCCGCAACTCAGCTTGATCCAGACACACTTCATTCTTCAGGGAGCCAGCATACACCTGCAGTGTGTCAAAGAGCTCGGGAGGATTTTCAGGAGTAGCAGGTAAAGGCCCTCCAATTATTAGCCAACCCAAGGATGCGCTTCTCCAACTTGTCATAACCTAAAAAGGTGAAGACAAGAAAATAAAACAACATAAGGACGAAGGCATAGGAGGAAAAAGAGAAAATGAAATGAAAGAAGGCCAAAAACTTACCAAACTCATGCGTACAACACAAACGCATGGCAGAGAGCTGCTCTTTCCCCACAATGTATATGGAATTGGGCAGCCAGATCTTGGGAAAATTGGAGTCACCAGCCCTCGCTCCCTGCAGAGCATCAAAATCCTCCGTCTCACGAACAGACTCGGAGGGGGAGACAGCAACTCCAGCCATGTTAGTACAAATCTCCCTGAAGTTGCTCGGTGCAGCAAAAGTGAAGAGCACCTTCACCAAGAAAAAATTGCTAGTCCAGTCCCTAAAGCGACCAAGCTTTGGTTAAGACAGAACCCTGCCCTCCTTGGGAGAAACATAGTACCACCCAGACTCAGTCCTAGAGGCAGACCTCTTTGGGCTTATTAAGGACTTAAACAGGTGCAGAGACTTAGAGTACCTCCGAAACCGCATGAACCATAGCAGGCAAATCAAAGTATGAAGAGAAGCCGAATGTAGCAAGGATATGCAAATATTAAAGGCACAGAACACCTTCTCTAGGGTAGGGTTAAGGGGAAACCTCAGACCTAAATCGAGCTGAGACGCAAACACGGTAATATGCCCATCAGGGGGAGCAGATAACTTTGCACCATCAGCAGGCAAGACCAACTTATGGCCCTCACCAAAACTGTAAAACTTCTGCCCAACAGAAGCAAGGTTCAACGTTTTGGCGTCCTTGCGCCAGCTCGAATCCAACACGTAATTCTTGGGCCCATAACACTTGTCATCCAAAAAGCACTCAGTCTTGCCTTCCTTTAAAGGCTTCGCAACATAAGTAGGCTGGCAATCGAAAAGAGAGCGATCACCTGGTGACTCAATCATCCCGCCCGATCGGACAGCTGGAGAGGGAGAGAGTGATGAAGTCTCAACACTGCCACCCCACACTACATAATTATCAAACCGATTCATATCAGCCATGTCATCAAGCTAAGCAAAACTGTTTAAGGGCTGAACATGGGGAATGGGGCTAACAAGAGAACGTTAGGGGGATTAGCCTTAACAGCATCAGCTAACATCTTATGGCGCATTGCGCGCAGCCTTAAACGAGTGAGGTGGGATAAAGGAATCCCATCCTTTACAAGCACCCTCTCGTAGTATGGATCAAAGAAATCAGGGTGAGGCTTGCGCTGAAAAGGGCGAAAGGCACTACCCTCAGCAGGACGACTACTACCTGACCCAGACGCAGCAGTAGGTGTCGCAGCAGTACCCGTCCCGCTCGCAGCGGGGGGACAATCAAAAGGCATAACCATTTGTACAGGAATGGGGGAAGAAGAACGAGAAATAGGACGAGTGTGTGCAGGGCGCTCACCTGAAGGAGATGATCGGGAAGGAGAATCCGGTTTTGTGGCCACTTGAGGCTCACTTATATTCTTACTATCAGAAACGTCGGACATTATGAAATCTACAAAGATAAAAATCCCACAAAGAGAAGAAAAGGCAATTGGGCACTGAAAATCAAAGATCAGTTTAGGGAGACAAGAACAATGAAGGAATAAAGGGGAAAGAAACAAGAATGCAATTACAACAACAAAAAAGGGGGAAAATTGGGCAATGACAATTAGGGCGAATCAAAAGGTACAATATTGGGAAGAAAAACGCAAAAAGAAGCGAAATTGGGAAAATACATATAACATAAAGGTATAAAGTAACTACCTTTAAGAGAAAAAGTTGCAGAAGCAACAGAGTACAACAACAATGGCAAACGTAAGAACTTGAATAGAAAAAAGTTCGAAACTACAGTCAAGATAGACAGAAGAAAAAGAAAATTAGTAAGGAAGTAAGCGCAAAAAAGAGAAAAACGAGTATGGCAGAAAATTGAGGTAAAAAAAAAGGCAAAGAAAACAGAAATTTACCACAACAATGGAAGAACACATACGTCTGAGGAAGGAAACGAAGAGCGAAATCTTTGAAATGAAAGTAGAAAGAGAGGAATATGAAAAAATAAAGAAGGTAAAAAGAAGTGTGGGACAATGAAATTAAATACGGAATTAATGGGCGGTTGGGCATGGAGTAAAACCAAACCACCATGTCATTTTGGTAAAATTCAAACTGTAGGATTGGATGATCGACACGTGTCCTATTCATGCAAATTTTATTCCCTCTAAAAACAATCTCTCTTCAGCGAGAATGATCAAAATTCCTCTCCGCAAGATCGTCATTTCTCAGACTTCAGCAGGAGTGACCGAAATTCCTCTCTGCAAGATCGTCATTTCTCAGACTTCAGCGGGAGTGATCGAAATTCCTCTCCGCACGATCGTCATTTCTCAGACTTCAGCGGGTGTGATCAAAATTCCTCTGCGCACACTACTACAAAAATGGTCAAAGAGACCCAAACTAAGAGACCATTTTATTCAATAACCGGTCTCTGTGATTCAGGAGACCCAATGTTAAAAATAAGGGTCTCTTTGGTAGTAGTTTTAGGAGTCCAAAATTAATTAAGACCCTTTATTGAAGATAGCAGGTCTCTCCTAATTTTTTTAGTAAAAAATTATTAAAAGAGAACCTGTTTTATTAAATAACCGGTCTTTGATTCCCTAAAAAAAAATCGTCTTTGAAACTAAAAATGAAGTCCGCTTATTAAGTTAGGCGGTCTCTTGCCTTTTTCTTTTCTTGTATATCGTATCTCTCTAATTCTCTTTACCTCAGCCTTCTCCATTAGATATGAACTCTTATTTTTTTATTCTCCCTCCTCCTTAAAACCCTAGCTTAGCTTCTTGCTTCCAGCCTCCAGCCTTCTTTTTCTTGTATCTTCATTCCCTTGATTTTCTCTTTCTATTTTAATGCAAGTGATGCAACCACCTCTAACTTGCATCCATTCTCTCTCCTCATCATAGCGAAACCGCCGCCAACCACTAGTGGAAAAATTGTTATTCGTAACGGGCTATTTGTAACGGGCTAAGTTATGGTCGTTACAATAAACATATTCGTAACGGTCAAAATAACATTCCGTTACAAGTACATATTATTTGTAACGGGCACCATATTGCCCGTTATGAAAAGCATGTTATTTGTAACGGGCAAAATGATGCCCGTTACGAATACCTATATATTTGTAACGGACAAGATGGTGCCCGTTACAAATGTATGAATTTGTTCCAGCTAATGACAAAAAGCCCATTCTTATAACTAGGGTTAGTTCCACACTTTCACTCTCCTCTAGCCGTCATACCGACCCCTCTTTCCTCTCTCCTCTCTAACTTCACTCAATTTCTCTCTTTTCCTCACTCATTCAATCTCTAAGCCCGAATCTCTCATCGAGAAGATTTTCTAGAAAATTCAACACCCTAATTCTTCTCCTGATGACAATAAACCCGCTCCTTCTTCTTTGAAGCCTAAAATTATGGGTGTTGTTGTTCTTCAAAAAAAAATATGGGTGTTGTTCTTCTTCCAGATCTTGGAACAGAGATTTTGATTCCAGTTTGTGTGGTAGTTGGAATCGTTTTCCCTTTAATTCAATGGTACATCGTTTCACGGGTCAAGCTTTCCCCTAATTCTGTGCATGCTAACAATAATAAGAATGGATACTCTGAGATTTTGATTGAAGAAGAAGAAGGTCTTAATGACCCAGGTGTTATTGCACAATGTACTGAGATTCAGAATGCTATTTCTGAAGGTGAACTAATTTCTCTTACTTTGGGGTTTTATTTTTATTATTTGTTTTTGGGTTCATTTTGTTTTTTTGTTTTTTTTTTGTTTTAATTTATTTCTTGGTTTGTTTGATCTAATTTGTGTTACTTGATTTGGATGATTTATGGGTTTGTGTTAATTTTGCTGGATATTTTGTTGTATACTCTAATTTATTCGAAATTCTGTCAAAGATTAATTCATTTTGGTTGTGTATAATTTTCCTGGGTTTCTTTGATTAGGATTTTTATTTCATACATTCGTTCGATTAAAAAAATTCAAATTTGGGAGCTCTATTATCTGTTATTCTAGATTTTGAGTTCAACTTTTTTTTTGGCTGATTTGGACTGTGATTTAAATGCTTAGAAATAAAAGAATTTGATGTAAATGCTTATGATTTGAATCATTATCGACCCTTTAACCATATTCTATGTGTTCAAGAAATTAATTTTGGATATTGACTAGGTCACCTGCATAGTCAGCATCTGTGAATCCTCTAAGCATAAAGTCATCACTTCTAGGATAGAACAGACACAGGTCATCTGTTCCTTTGAGGTATCTCAAAATTCTCTTAACAACCATTAGATGTGATTCTTTAGGGTTATACTGAAATCTAGCACACAATCCAACCTAAAAGAAATGTCAGACGTATTGGCTGTTAGATATAACAATGAACCAATCATACCTCTGTAAGTGGTTTGATCCACACTTGTTCCTTGTGGATCCTCATCAAGTCTTGTTGCTGTTCCCATATGTGTATGATATGTCTTGGCATTCTCCATTTTGTACTTCTTCAGAAGTTCCTTGTCGTACTTCTGTTGGTGAATCATTATTCCTTCAGCTGTTTGCTTTATTTGAAGTCCAAGAAAGAAGTTTAATTCACCCATCATGCTCATCTCAAATTCACCACCCATTAGCTCAGCAAAGTACTTGCACAATCCATTGTTTGTAGAACCAAATATAATATCATCTACATAGATCTGTACAACTAACAAATCAGTTCCTCGAGATTTAATAAAAAGAGTTTTGTCTACTTTTCCTCTTTTGAAATCATTTTCCAGTAGGAACTTTGAAAGCTTTTCATACCAGGCTCTTGGAGCTTGTTTAAGCCCGTAGAGATCTTTATCAAGCTTAAAAACATGATTTGGAAATTTAGGATTTTCGAAACCAGGAGGTTGTTCAACAAACACCTCCTCATTTAAGAAACCATTAATAAAAGCACATTTCACATCCATTTGATAGAGTTTGAAACCCATAAAAGAAGCAAAAGACACTAGGATTCTAATAGCTTCTAATCTAGCTACAAGAGCAAAGGTTTCATTGAAATCAATACCTTCCTGTTGGTTGTAGCCTTTCACAACTAATCTATCCTTGTTCCTTACTATGGTGCCATGTTCATGAAGCTTGTTCCTGAACACCCATTTGAGCCCAATTACTTTCTTTCCCTTAGGCGTTGGCTCAAGTTGCCAGACTTTGTTCCTTTCAAACTCATTCAGTTCCTCTTGCATGGCCACTATCCAATCAGCATCTCCCAAGGCTTCTTGATGATTTCTTGGCTCTAGAATGGACTGAAATGCATGAAATGCGCAGTAGTTCCTCATTTGTGATCTTGTTTGAGTTCCTTTTCCTATATCACTGATAATTAGATCAGTTGGATGGGAACCTTGATACATGAATGGCCTGGGCTGAAATTCCCTTGCTGAAACTCCAATTTGAGGAGTTTCTGGTTCTGTTCCTTCTGCTTCTTCTGCTTGTTCATCATTCACCTAATCATATGGTTGTGGAACCTCTCCATTTTCTTGATGATTCTCTTCTGGAGCAGGGCTTTTCCTTGGTTTGCTTTTGAGTCTCTTCTTCATCCCTGTCTCTTATCAATCCAATTTAAAAATCATTATCATCTTCTTGTTCCTGTACACTCACAAACTGGTTAACTTCATCAAAGATTGTATGAATGCTTTCCTCAACACACATTGAGCTTTTATTGTAAACACTATAAGCTTTGCTATCAGAGGCATATCCTAGAAATATAGCCTCTTCACTTCTTTCATCAAATTTCTCTAGGTTTTTCTTACCATTATTATGTACAAAGCACTTACAACCAAAGGCTCTAAGATGAGATATGTTTGGCTTCCTTCCCCTGAATAGTTCATAGGGAGTCTTGTTGATGATATTTCTGATTGTTACCCTGTTGAGGATATAACATGCTGTATTCACGGCTTCAGCCCAGATGTTTCTTGGCAATCCAATTGCAATCAGCATCGTTCTAGCCATTTCCTCAAGGGTTTGATTCTTCCTTTCTACAACTCCATTATGTTGGGTAGTCCTTGGAACTGAGAAGTTATGATTCATGCCATTTTCCCTGCAAAACTCATCGAATCTTGAGTTCTCAAATTCAGTTCTGTGATCTGATCTGAGATGGACTATGGAGTGACCACTGATTTTCTGTATTTTCTTGGCAAAAGCAACAAACTCGTTAAAAGTTTCATCTTTACTAGCAAGAAAAATAACCCAAGTGAATCTAGAATAATCATCAACAATAACCAAAACATATTTCTTGACACTCCTGCTTTGAATTCTCATGGGACTACACAAATCCATATGGATTAATTCCAAAGTCTTTGTAGTGCTTACCATTTTCTTCAATTGAAAAGATGATCGAACATGCTTGCCTTTCACACATGCATCACAAACTCTGTTCTGTAGGAACTTGATAATAGGAAGTCCCACAACCAAATTCCTTGACCTCAGCTTGTCCAGCAATGAAAACCTAGCATGTCCAAAACGTTTATGCCATAGCAGGGGATCATCTTCAACAACACTCAGACATGTAAGGTTGTTCCTTGGGATTAAGTTGAGGTCGACTGTATAAGTGTTCCCTCTTCTTGTTCCTTCTAGAACAACCTTTCCTGGCTTGTTGTTGATGATGTTGCAAGAATCAGAAGTAAAACTTACAGAGTTTCCTTTATCACAGAATTGTGATATACTGAGCAAATTGTGCATTAAGCCCTCGACCAGGAACACATTATCAATGGAATGAGATTTAGATCTTCCAATTTTGCCTTTTCCAATGATCTTTCCCTTCTTATTATCACCAAAGGTTACTGTTCCTCCAGGGTAGTCTTCTAGTGAGAGGAATTTTGATTTATCACCTGTCATATGCTTTGAACAACCGCTGTTAAGATACCACGAGTTGTTCCCCCTCACTAGGACCTGCAAGAAAACTAAGCATTAGGATCAGGAACCCAGAATTCCTTGGGTTCCTTAGACGTGGATGCAATATCAGTTTTCTTGACCCACCCTTGGTTTATATTTCTTTTATCAGCTTCTTCTCTTATCCTACACTATCCATAGAGATGTCCGGTCTTACCACAAAAATTGCAGACCTTCATGTTAGGAAGCTCAACATATTTCTTTTGCTTACCTTTCCTCTTGGTCATATAGCCAAGGCCTTTAGTTCTTTTTCCTTGAGCTTCAGCTATCCACTTAGGTATGACTTTTGGGTCTATACTTCTATCCTTTCTGGCATTCAGTTCCGATTCAAGTTGATCCTTTTAGGTTTTTAAAGTAGAAAGCTCATTTTTAAAATTTTCAAAATCAACATTGAATTTAAGCAACTGATCGCGTGAGGAACTGCTAGAACTGATATCAGAATTTATGAGCTTATACTGAGTTAGTTCAACATTTAGAAGAATACTTTCATTCTTAATTCTATCAGCTATCTCAGTTATGTGTTTGTACTGAAAATCAAGTTCTCTTAGTTTGCTTTGAGACTTGGCATAGGCTGTTTCCAACCAAGCACCATGTTCTTTGCAAACCTTACGATATTTTGTCACATCTATTCAACTTCACACATGTATCTCTAAAGAATTCTTCTTCTCCTAGACATATATCTATCAAGACATCTTTAGAGAGAGTTTTAAGCTGTTTAGGATCAAGAAATACCTCTTTCTAGAGTTCCTCAAGGTAAGCCTTTTCATCATCTGATTTGGCCATTAAACAAAGATTGGCCGTCTCCTCTTCTGGTTGGTCATCATATTCTTCTTCACTTTCTGAGTCTCCCCAAGCTGCTATCATGGCCTTCCTCATGTCTGACTTTTGATAGTTTGCTTTGCTGAATTTTTCTCTTCCCTGTTCCTTAGCCTTTCCTTTCCCTTTATCATTTTCCCAAAGGGGACAGTCTCTGATAAAGTGATCTGGAGATCCACATTTGTGGCAGCTGTAGTCAGACTTTGAATTTGAGGTCTTTTTCCCGAAGTTCCTTGAGGTTTGGCATTTCTTGAACATCTTTTTAAATCTTCGCACAATTAAGGTAGCCTCATCCTCGTCCACTTCTGAGTCTTCCTCCTCATCAGCCTTAAAAGCCAATCCCTTGTTCCTCATGGGTTCATTGTTGACTCCAAGGTGTAGCTCATGAGTCATGAGAGAACCTGCTAGTTGTTCAATATTGAACTTTGTAAAGTCCTTCGTTTCCTAAAGGGCTGTCACCTTAGCTCTCCATCTCTCATCTTGTGGAAGACTTATAAGAACCTTCCTAACCTGCTCATCTATAGGAATCTGTTTACCAAGGGAAACCAACTCATTTATGATGTTAGTAAATCGGGTTAGCATTTCTTGAATGGTTTCCTTAGGCTGCATTTCAAATCTTAATACTTAGACATAAGTAGATCGATTTTTGAGCTTTTAACCTCATTAGTTTCTTCATGAGTAATTAGCAGCAAATCCCAGATTTCCTTAGCGTTCTTGCACCCCATAACACGATTGTGTTCGTGAGGTCCAAGTCCACAGTGGAGCAATTTCACAGCCATAGCATTTATTTCCATTTTATTAAAGTCCTCTTTTTCATATTAAGACATAGGCTTAGGGATTACCTCGTTCTGAGCATTTATTTTGGTGACTTCGAAATCACCAACCTCGATGACCCTCTAGACTTGGTAGTTCTCTGCCTTGATAAAGATCTCCATGCGGTTCTTCCAGTAAGTATAGAACTTGCTGTTGAACATAGGAGGCCTCTGAGTTGAGTATCCTTCTTCGAGCTTTTCATGAGTATTCATTTTCTCCAAGACCTTTCTTCTTCAGGGTTTTCTAATTTTCCTAGAAGTTAGGCTTTGATATCAATTGTTGTTTAAAGAATACTATAAGAAGGGGGGGTTGAATTGTAGTATGAGAAATTAGCCAAACTTTTTGCGTAATTAAAATTAAGTTACCTAAACGAACTGAAAGATTAACTCAAGGAACTAAAGAATGCAAGAGAGCTTTTACGTGGAAAACTCCTTGGCCCTAACAAGGAAAAAAACCACGACCACTTGGGATTTTGGGAAAATAATCTTCACTATAGGGCAAATGAACCTATTACAAGCTAACGACTCAAACTCAAGTTCCTCTACGAACTTGAGACCATGAGGAACAAGTCACCCAACTTGTTACTCTTCTCTTCTCTTTCTCTCTTCTCACTTCACTGTTCTCTCTTCTCTTTATTTTCTCTTTTTCACTTCACTTTCTCATACACAACGTTCACTCGAACTTCCCCATTCCCCAAATTACAACTCGAAAAATAAACAAACTCTAGTATAAGAACATTAAGAGCACTCTAATGAACTTGTGTGGAATTGACACTTGACTCGATTTGAAGCTTTAAAACTTATGTGAGCAAGGGTGAGTAATTTTTTCTTAAATTAATGGCTATTTATAGATCAACAAATACTTTGGAAAATCCTCTTTGTGCAGCAATTCCGTTACGCCACTACTCCAACCCACTAAGAAGATCATGTTCCTAAGATTAAGGAAACATGAACTCCTCAACGTGCAAGACCATGACTTAAAGAAAATCATGGAGGAGTAGGCCGCAAGTTTTTAGAAAACGTGGGAGATTTTATTTGCAGAAGATATTTTTAGAAAATCAGAAAAAAAATCTTTTTGGTTAAGAGAAAGATAATCCTTAAAGACTTAACCACTTTCCTAAAAACTAGCATGCACATCTTTTTATCTTTTAGACCAATTCCACACAGATTTTTCAAGTGCAAATTAATATCTTATACTTACATAAATCCTAAATTATAAAAATATATTTAGTCTTCATGTTCTCTGATGAAGCTTCTACTCCGAGGCTTCTGTTCCTTGGGAGGAACTTCTCTTCTCTGATAAAGCTTCTTCTCTGAAGCTTCTATTCCCTGAGGGAACCTTCTCTTCTCAGTCTTCATTTCTGAAGCACCAGTTCCTGTGAGGGAACTCTTCTTTATGGCTAGCTCTGCTTCTGGCTTTCTTGTTCCTCATGGTATTTTTACAAGACACTTCATTCTCCTAGTCTTTGTAACTAGGTACAGACTTAAACAATCAAGCACTTATTAGTTTGTAAGTAAGTGAGGTTGTGTCATCATCAAAATCATTAAGTCCAACAATTAGGATTAATTAAAACCTTCCATAAGTTTTTAAAAGATCTTAATTATCCTTTTTGAAAAGATAAGATTATAGAATTTGAGTTAAATAAAAACTTTCCTTTTTTAAAACTTTCCTTTTACTTAAATCCTAATTCTATTCGAATTTAATGATGTCCAAAGACAATCAGATTTTATTTTCGTGCCTCATAATCATTATCCAAATTTTATATGGTTGGATAGATCTTGAAATTATCTTTCCAAAGATACATTATAATATTAAATCTGAGCTATAACGAAAAAGATATGAATGACATATGAAACTCTATCCAAAACTGACACCCTTCCACTATTTCAGCCAGATTTTTTTATCTACAAATGATTTTAATATCATTTTAATTAGGTTTGAAAGTATACTTCAAGAGCTTTCCAACGACATATTGTATGCCTTATTTAGACTTCTGGATCAAAAGATATGATAAAAACAAAAACGCATGAAATTGATTATTAGCGCCTGACGACAAGCATTAGGGCCTGGCGCTAAGGCTTGGCGCCTGGCGCTTATCGTGTTTTATTCTTGTTGAAACTCTGATTCGTTTTTTTTATCCGTTCGTCTGATTTTCTCAATAAATAGCCTCTTAAAATTCTTTTTTCAATCATCAATTTTCATTAATTCTTCTCATCAACTCTCATCAAGAATTTTTTGATTCTCTCTCCCTCTTTTCTAAACCAACCCTTTTACAAACACAATTCCTCATACATTAGCTCTAGAAATACCTAGCATTGTTCGAAGTTACCTTCGCCATAGACGTGAAAGGATTTAATTTCTGAGGGTTTGGTCCCAAATCTCTTTTCAATTATTTAATTTAATTGTTGATTTTATATTTTCCTTGAAGTTACTAACGTATGTATTTTGTTATTAGAAAGAGATACGAGGCATTCAAGTAAGTGCTTTAATTGTTTGCATTGATATTATGATATAGAAATCATGTCTAGGTTGTTATTATGATTCCTAGTATCATATTAGGGTGCTTGATGTTTTGAATGACAACAATGATTCCTAGTATTATGTTTAGAGAAAAGGTTATAATATCAAATATTCTTATATGATTCCTGCGATCCTTCCTATTTCTCTTCCTAATATGCATGTTATTATCATATTAGGGTTAAAGCTTTGATTTTTATTGTTTAGTGACATGCTAGGGTTTGTTATTAATCTTGTTAGTATCATGCCTAGGATCTTGATTTTATTATGCTATAACATGATAATGATTGTTTATAATTGTTATAATAATTATTATTGTTATGATTATTATTATTGTTGCTTGATTATATATTGTTATTGTTATTGCTTTATCACACCTTTTATGGGTGTTTAAAGGTAATTTGTACTTGTAATCACGCTTAATAAGATAATTAATAATCTAATTTAGATTAATATGACTATTATTCAACTGATCTCCAATAATAGATTTTTTTGTGCATTAAATTCAACCAACATAGATAAACATGTTTAGGTTTAACCTATTGATTGCATGTTAGTCAGAAAGCGCACATGAATACGATCAGAATAAAGTAGAGGCCTATTATTAGGGAAGATTCAATCTCTTTTAGGTTGGATTTGTACCTTCATACCCAAACTACCAGTCATGGTTCTAGACCTATTGGAGTTGACGATCTCTTGGATCGTTAAGGGTGTAACCTTTACCTCGTGAACGGTTTACAAGTTCCTTCCTTCCCTCTATCTTCCTTCCCTTTGGACGCCACCGTACTTTAGTGTATGATCACAATGGGGTTTAAGCTAGGGATAATACTTGAAATATGCCCTACAGGACGTCTGGGAATGTTCCACTAGAGGACACTTGTCCATCATCAACTGAATGGATCATCCTTTTTAAATGATCCTTGGTGCCCCGGATGGTCGGGCCACCACTTGCAAATCTGCCTGCTATAGTTTAGACCGGATCCTTGTTAGTGTCCGAGCTACTAGTAGGCTGGATAGTTTTTAACGAATGTCCCGAATTTGTCTTAGAAGTCTCTTTGGACTTCAAGACATAGGACTTCAACAAGCCCTTGTCGGCCAGACGGTCCAACGTTTGCTTGAGACTATAGCAGTTGTTGGTGTCATGACCCACCTCCTGATGGAAGTGGCATAATTTTTTCTTGTTCCGCGACTTAACAGAACTCTTCATAAGATTCGGCTTTTCAATGGTCAACCAATCCTTCACCTCTGTAAAGATGGTGTAGTAGTATTTATTGAATTTATACCGCGAGATGTAAGGTTTGAATTCTTTCTTTTTCTTGTTGGACGGCTGATCAAGATCATCAACCACCCAAATTTCTTTTCTCTTTTTGCTTTGTTCATATTTTTGAGCCGGCTGAGTAGACTGACTCTCTTTTTGCTTGTAAGACCTCTTGGAGTCTGATTGATGGCTGGACGAGCAGAGGTCAATAGCTTGAATAATGCTCTCCGCCATTGAAGGGTGAAAACCCTTTTTCGAACAAGGTTGAACTTAAAGGTCGACCCGTCCTTCAGACCCTTGAAGAAGTATGTATAGGCTACCTCGTCGGACAACCCCTGGATTTGGATTCTTACCAGGTTGAACAGCCTGACGTAGGAGCAAAGCCCCTCTTTGTCTCCCTGCCGAATGGTGCTTAGATCGAGAATGGTTTTCTTGGCAGGGATGTTCATTGAGAAGTTGGAGGTAAATAGGAAGGCTAGCTTCCTGAAGCTATCAATGTTCCCGGCTGGCAAATTTTCAAACCATTGTTGGGAAATGCCCTTCAATGTAGCCGGGAAGCATCGGCACCACATGGAATCTTCAAACCCTGCATGAGCATGAGGTTAGAATAGGCCATGAGGTGTTCCTCTAGGTTGGTGATATCATCATAAGAACCCACCAACACATTCTTAACCTTGGTCGGTTGTGCGGCTTCGGTTATCTCCTTGGTGAACGCAAAATTTTGTTCACCAAGTTTGAGCAGTCGGAGGTGCCAGTCCAAAAGTTGGACATTAAATGCCGCCTGACTCCCATAGAGGGCTGATTG